AAAAAGACAAGGTGGCACCATTAAACCTGCCTCTGCCATTCATCTGGGCTCTGTCGCCTTTCTTCCCCTCTGGGGCACCTCACACACCCCTCCCCAGGGGAAGGAAAGACTCCCCCACTGCCCCAGAAGGCTCACGGCAGCAGCACCTTCCCCCTACCCAGGCTGCTGCCATGCCTTCTGCATTTGCAGTCAGGATTTGCGGGGCTGCGAGATCAGGATCTAGAAGTCCGGTGGATCGGTGGGTGCTCTTGCCTCTGGGCAGGACTGTTCCATTCTTCAAGACCCCATTTTTAGCACTGTCTGCCAGCAGCAGCTGTGGTCTCCAGGGACCTGTGTTGGGCCAGTTCAACCAGTTCTGCTCCTTCCAAATGCTGGGAGAGCTGACATCGCAGCACCTGGCCTAGGCTTTAAGCCAAAGCAGTTGCCCAGTTTGGGCGATTGGCATCTGTCCCTCCTTGCTGCTTCCTTTTAACTCTTGCCCAACACTTCCGAACAAGGATGGGGTGGAGTAGGGCAGAGGCAGCCAGGGGAGACTGGGGGAGCCCTAGAGCCTTTGCTGGAACGATAGTAGACTCCTTTTAAAAAGGGTACAACTGCCTGCCTGCTCCTTGCCAATTTCCCCAATGCCTCTAACTCAGAGACGTTTCCCCTTTTTGCCGAGACTGGCTGTGTGGCCCTAGGTAAGACATACTAGCTGCAAGCGTCAGTTTTCCCAGGTGTGGGATGAGGCAGTTGGCTGAACTTCCTGGCTTCCAGGCTGAAGGTGGTATAATCGCTGGGCAGGGCCCCACCCACTGCAGAGAAGCCTGGACCAGCTCTGGTCCTGTGCCCACCACCAAAATGAGTATTTCCAGGGGCCAGTACCACGTGTTGCCCAATCCAGGAGGCACCATTGGGCAACACTAATGCTAAGAGTTGGAGCCCTGGCAGGAGCAAGATTCCACTCCCTCCCCAACACCTAGGATAAGACCATCAGGCTGGGAGTGTCACTTTATTTGGATTTGATTCATGAGGTGGGGCTGCCATAGGCAAAGGAATTCCACCAGCTGGGCTCCTGGCCCAGGGCCTCATTCTGGCCTTTGTTGGGCAGAGCCTGTCCCTCCAAAGCACAGCCTCCACCTTCCCACCCTTCTCCAGGAGTCCTCCTCCTCTCCCCACATGAGCTGTGGACAGGCTGTCCAGTCCTGGGGGAGGAGGGGAGACCCTGAGGCTCAGAGTGGACTGAATAGACCGACTGAGGCATGGCAAGGCCTTCGGAGTCATAAGGGCTCTTCTGGAGGTGGCCTCTACTTGGGCTTACGGCTGGGCGAGGGTTGTGGCTCCAGAGAGGGTGGGGGCTCCATGCAGCCACTGACCATCCAGAAGTAGTTTGGGTGCACCTGGCCCTGCACAGCCTCACTGGCCATCAACTCCCCGTCCACAGTAATCACACCCTTACCATCCTTTGGCTCCAGGCGGAAGGCAACCACAGGCACATACACCAAGTAGGGACAGTCATACTCCATGTGCCTGCCGTTCTGCATGGCCAGGAAGATGCGCAGCAGCATGGCCCGAGACACACCTGCCCGTATGTAGAACAGGTGCATAGTGCCGGCCTCACAGCGGCCCATGGGTGCAGCAAACATCTCGCTGCCCAGATGTGAGTGCAGCAGCACCAGCACCAGCACAAAGTCCTGCTCTGGCACCACGGTCCAGTGGGAGGGCACTGGCTCCTCCAAGGGCACAAGGTGGGCATCCACAGGGCCCTGCTGGTTCTGCCGGTCCAGAGCCGGGGAGGTGGGCATCTTGGAGACCACCCTTTCTACGGGGAGGTAGGCCAGTTGGCCCCTGTAGATGCGTAGGGCTGCCAGGCGCAGGAAGGTGCCCAGAGTGAAGCGCACCTCCCCCAGGCACCGAAACTTCTCACTCTCCAGATCCACATCAGCAATGAAGCCCCACGCCAGGCTGAGCACGGAGAAGAGACGCAGCCCGGAGGCTGTTTGCAGTGACAGCAGGTTCATGGGCGCCAACAGCCGGCGGCACAGCAGCAGCGTGCAGTTGGTCAGCAGGTCTTCATCAGTCACCTGCTCAAAGCTGCAGGGGAAAATGGTCAGAAGGGGCAGGGCAGGAGCCCTTGCTCATCCTCCCCTTCCTTCTCCTGGGGAGTTGGGGCAGGCAATGTGACACTGGATCCCTAGGGAGTTGGCAAGAAAGACAGATGGAGCAGGTGGAGGCAGCCAGCTGGAGTCACCAAGAGAGGGCCCCAGAACTGAGGGTCAAGGCTCCAGAGAAGGGGGAATGGAAGTTACCCCAGCATATGGGACTTAGAAAACCGGGCAGTAGGGTAGCACTGAGGGGAAACTGAGGCCCACTTTGGCCCTGGGCTCTCACCCGGCATAATGGTTCACAGAAGCTGCCAGAGCATTGCCAGAGCCAGCTGGGAGGCTGCACAGGGGCTTCTGGATGGCGGTCTCCCAGTCAGGCCGCTCCATGAGCCCGTTCACCACCTGTTGGAGCAAGGGTGGCCTCAGCCTGGGAAGCACCCCATCCCCCACCTACGCCCAGCCTCCTGGTGCAGGCCTCACCTCATGCATCAACCCATCTCCAGACATGACCACCAGCGCGTCCCAGTGTCCCAGCTCCTCTGCCCGAACCAGCTCGCGGGCGTGGTTCCGCCGCTCTGCTGACAGGGTGGCTATCAGGGCTGGGGGGTCCCTGGCAGGGGATGCTCCCTGCACCCCCTCAGAGAGGCACTCACCAGTGAGCAACAGCTTGAAGGAGACATCCTCCTGGGCCAGCAGGGGCTGCACGTGGCTCCGGAAGAGCTCCAGGGCCTTGCCCTTGCCCCCGCACGGGTTCAGCAGCACCAGCACGTGGCAGGGCCGTGGGAGCTGGCGCTGGGTTCCCCTCGCTGTAAAAACAAACCCGAAAAGGCCGCGTCCAACCGGCCACTAGGGGGCTGCGGATCACAACAGGGGCACTGGGATGGAATGTGGTGCCAGAAATCCCCTGGTAATTGACCCAATAGAGCCTAGTCAGAGGCAGCAGCCTCCAATGGGGAGCTCCAGGGTGGGGCACCACGCCCTTGACAGCCGGGTCCTTGGCTCAGGCCCGACTAGCTTCTGGCCTCGTCAGGAAAGTGTTTCTCTGGAGCATCTCCAGCCCCTTTCTTTTGTCCAGCTGACTCTGGCCATCCTTCCTGGCGAGGGAGAGAAAGGATCCCCCTACAGCCCTTCCCCGCCAGGCCCCGACAAACCTGGATCCATAACCTCGACCCGCGGCTCCCGCTGCCAGGGGGTCCCCAGCGCTGTCGGGGCGCTGCCCGCGCCGGCGTCTCCTGCCTTCAGTTCCTTATCGATGCTGCCCAGGCGGGCGTCACGGTGCTGGCTGTGGGGCTCGCCCTCCCCGCCTGAAGCCGGGGCAGTAGGGGCATCCGCGTCATTCCCTGCAGCTGCTGGATCTGAGGGAGAGGAGACAGCGCTGGAGGAATCCGGAGCGGCCCCTGAGGTGGCGGACGCCCAACTAGATCCTCGGGGAGCGCGCGCTCCAGCATCGCCTAGTTTTCCGAGAGGTCCAGAGAGCCTAGGCCATCAAGGGCGCTCCCGTCCTAGAACTGAGCCCCCACCTCCATAGGCGAAGGGTCTTTTCCTGGGGGGTTTCCTGACGGGGTCTCAAGTTCTGGCCAGAGGGTGAGTCAGAGCCCCGTAGCTCTCTGGATCAAACCAGCTCCTCAGCCCCCCGGGGGCTGCCAGGAGGAGGGGAGTCCAGTTGCATAAAAATCCCAGAACTCTAGCGGACATCGCGAGGTATGAAGCTCGGGGTGAGCCATCGCCGCCCCGAGCCAGTGGGGTTCCCTACCCCGAGCTCCAGAGCGACCAGGGTCCCCGCACGCGCCGCACTCTTGGGAGCAACGCCGGGGGCGCGCACCGCCTGAGCCCGAGACCCGCAGCCAGCTGCCGCCTCGCTCAGCCCAGCGCCGAGTGGGCGCGGACGCAGCGCGGTCCGTGGCCAGTTCCCCGAGCTGCCCAGGAGCCACGAGCGGCGTGAAGGCAGGGCGAGCGGCCCTACCCAGTCTGGCCGGTTTGTTGGGGAGGTGCCACCTCCGTTCTCTACAGTGGCCTCGTCCCGGGCTCAGCCTCGCGTCTGAGGGACAACTGGAGCGCCGGGCAAACGCTGACTCCACGGCCTCGCTGCCTCTGGCCTCAAACTTTTCGCTCAACTTCGCCATCCCGCGCTGCTGCGCTGGGAGGGCGCTGTAGCTCCGCGCCCGGCCTGGCCACGCCCCGCGCTCCTTGCACTCTCCGGGGTGGAACAGGCACCCCGCGTGGCCCGGGCCCGCGCCCGCCCGCCCCAGGTCTCACCCGGCCGCCTGCGGCACAGTCAGCGCCCACGGCTCGGCCACGCGCAGGCTCTGGGCTGGGTCCCCGGACCTGGCCACGCGCCCCCGCCGCTCGGAGTAGGCGACCTGCGAGAAGGCGGCGCCGCGGCCGGGCAGGAGGAGAGGCGGAGGTAGTCGGCAAGGCGCAGAGCCCCGGACCCGGCCACGAGCAGCGCGCCGCGAGGGCCGCGTCCCGGGCGAGCGAGGGTGAACGCGCAGCGCAGGCCACGCGCGAACTCGCCGCGGCGCGCAAAGTCGGAGCGGCGGCGAGTAGAGCGCCGGTTGCGGGTGGCTCAGCGCTCCGGGCTGCCCCTCGGCTGCCCCTCGACGCTGCGACCTGCCGCTCAGGGTCTTTCCGCATAACTACCCGCGCGGCAGGCGGCGGGCATACAGAGTCCCCTTCGCGCACCCCGCCCAAGCTCCCCCGGAATTCGAGGCCCAAACCCCGCCGGCTGCCCCCCCCTCCGTGCCGGGGCGTCCCTCCTGCCGACCCCGTTTCTCCCCGGAGGACTATTTTTAGCTTCCTGACGCGGCAGCTCGGCTGTGCAGCCACCAAGCCCGAGGCAGCCAGGCGCGCCATCCCAGGGAGCGACAGGGATCGGCTAGGGGGCTGCGGTCTGGAGGAGGGGCCCTTGTCAAGAACCTCAAAAGCTGAATCCTTTCCGCAGAGGACATCATTGAGGATCACTTGGGCCAGAGAAGCGTCACCGCAGCGGGCGATCCAGGCCCAAGCCCCTCACCCACCCGGGAAGAGCCCGGCGGTGTAAACAGGCCTAGGGGTCCCCACTGGGATTGGAGAGCCAAGCATCAGCGGGGCGTGTCCCCCGCCGTCCACACTGGCTTAGCCGGAGGATGCAAACGCGCCTGGGAGTTTTCACTTCAATGGAGGCAAACGGCGATACGTGTGTCAGTGTGTGTGCGATATACATATCACGGGCAAGTGTCTGACCTGAAAGTGTCCGCGACCAACTTGAATTAAATCCCTGGGGGTTGTTTGCAGAGACCCGGAGGAGGAAGTTGCCAAGGCCGACTTGGTGACCTGACTTGGTAGGGCCAAAGTTAGAAAAAACCAAACCCCTGTAGGACGCTGAGGCGGTCCAGGTCCAGGCTGCGGAGTGCCCACGCCCACATCTGCCCCCACCTGGGGGGCAGGGAGCGGGGCCCAAGTGTCCCGGGAAAAGGCGGGAGCAGGGGCGCAGGCTGAGATACGCGGGTTTCGGGCCGGCAGCTCGGCGCGCGTGGCGGTGGTACGCGCCTCCGCCCTGCGCGGTCCCCGGGCAGCCCTAGCTGGGTCCTGAGCGTCCGGAGCGTGTTCCGGGAAGGTGACTCAGCGACGCGCTCAAGGGTCGAGAAACCCCGCGAAACTAGGGACAAGAGGAGGGAGCTGGGGTGTCGTCACCCTCTCGCAGCGCTGCGTGTCCGCCGAGGTCTGGTCTTGAACCTCCGGGTCCCCCACCCCCTAGGAACCCGGCGCGGGGAGCGGAGGGCTGTGTTCAGCCGCAGTGCTGTGGTCACGCGACGCGGGGACGCGAGCGGCGGCGGGAGACAGAGGCTCGGTGCGGCAGCCGGGCTCCAGATCCCACCCCTCCTCTCTTTCCCTATCCTCCAGCGAGAAGTCTGGGCTTTGGCTCCTAGAAGACGGGGGACGTGGAGCAGTGCTCTCCGAAATCTCAGGTTTGGGGGGAGGTGGCTGCGGAGACGGCCAAGGCAGCTTCCTCCTTCTTCTCCCCCGCTCAGGAGGGACCCTTCCATCAGGCCTGAAAAGCTGCCGTCTTAAACCTTGGAGTCTGATGGGAAACTGAGGCACAGGGAAGGGAACGCCTGGCTGTGCATGAGTCCGTGGTGAGAAAGCCCGCCTGCCACAGGATCCCTGTCTTCCTTCCTGCGCTGCAGGCTAGAGCCCCTGGAGTCGCGGGGGGCGGAGTTGACCAAAAGCCAAGCGGGCATGGGGAGGCGGGGCAGCCTGCTGGGTTCTTTAACCTGCCACCTCCGGGGGACCCAACTCCCCTCCCGACTCAGGCGAGCCCAGTGGGAGGGAGGGGAAGGGCAAAGCCCTCTGGCCCTGGTTCCAGTGCGCACAATGGCTCCTCTGTGCTCCCTGCCGCCTCTCCCTCGGCCCCCCTCACCTCCACGGCCTCTGCTCTGCCCCCTCATTCTTGTCATTCACCTCCCACCTCCCAGGCTGCCTCTCTGCAGGCCCATACCGCCTCCCAGGCCCTGTCTAAAGAACTTTCTCTCCTCTCCAGAAACTCACCCATCAGCATCCCTAGCCCAAGAGACAGAATTGGGCAAGAGCAAGATGCTCTTCCTCTTTCAACGATTGGGGAAACTGAAACCCTGAGAGGTGAAAGGTTTTCCCCAAGCTGCCAAACCAGTTCCCAACAGAGAAGCAACTCCAGGGGTCCTGACCCCCAGCCTGGAAGGAAGGCTGAGCCTACCCCCGGCTGACGGCTGCTGTTGGCCTGATGGGTTGCTTGCCACAGAGCGACCCCAGTAACCCAACGTCTCAGAAAAAGTCTCCCCGAGAAAGAGGAAGCATCTTGAAGCCTTCTCCAGGCTTTGTCCCCCAAGTCCTGATTAAGCAACTAGCTGCTGTGCCCAGAGAGGCCTACTGTGGGCCTGGGATCAGGCTTGACCTGACGGGGTGGCCAACCCAGAGCAGGTAATGCCTGTCTCACAGTGGCAAGAGTCAGCCTCTGCCTCTGCCCAGCCAGCGGCTTCCTCCTTGTGGGCAGCCTTCCCAGGGAGACACACCTGAGAACCCGGGGTTTTTTCTTCTTCAGAGAATGAAAGCATGCATTCACCGGGCCTGGCCCCAGCTCTCTGGAAACTTGGAGCCAAGGCCACCAGACGGCAAATGACTTGTTTTTATTGGGAGACGATGCCTGCCATCTCATCCGTCCCTGAAGCTACCTTCCTGGGAGGTTTCGGCTCCGAAGGTGAATTGCAGGGCCTCAAGCCCTCCCTTGGCCCCAAGTCTTTTCTGCCTAGGAGACCACAAGGACAGGGGAAGGGAGTGTCCGGCCCTGCAAACTCTTTTTAAGACCTGTGTTGTGGGACAGACCGAATGTGGCTTTCCATTCTGCGAGTTTCCTCGATGCTGGTGACCATGCCAGACACTGGGGGTGGTGCGGCGTGTCATACGTGGAGTTCCAGGAAAGCAGACGGTCAAGCAGGTGTCTTGGTCACCTCTCGGGGGGGTTCTGAGTTTCTGTTTCTGCAGTGGTTCAGCTACTCAGGGTGAGTGCTAGGGTGAGCTTCGCTCTACGCCTTGCATGTCTCCTTGTCCTTGTGAGTGTCCTTGGGGAGGCCGGGAATCCAGATTTCTTCTGAGCCTCTGGGTTCTGCCTCCCACACGCCTCACTGGCAGGCCTGCTGGTCTTGGCTACCATCCAGGGGAACCAGCTTCCACAGCTGTCTCGATGTGGAAGCCTGCAGGCCACACCCGCTCCACTCCTCTCAGCTGCCTGCCCGCCGCCTGAACGCATTTGTGTTAGTTTCCTGGGATCATAATGACAAAGTACCACAAACTGGGTCTCTGAACAGAAATTTACTGTCTCACTGTCCTACAGGCCAGAAGGCCAAGAGCAAGATGTCAGCAGGGTCAGTTCCTTCCGAGGGCTGTGAGGGAGAACCTGTCCCAGGCCTCTCTTCGAGCTTCTGGTGGTTTGCTGGCCAGCTTTGGCGTGCCGTGGCTTGTACACACATCACGCCAATCTCCGCCTTCGCCTTCGCGCGGCCTTCTCCCTGTGAAACATCTGGCTGACATTTGTTGTGTTAGGGTCTGAATTATCTTCCGTGGGCGTGTTCTTTTTCAAAAGCAAATTACTCTGGGAGGGAAAACCAACAAGTTATTGGACTCTAGTGTGAATTACTGTATCACATATTTAATTTTAAAAATATAACCATACAGTATCAGGTGGCTTGAAAGAGGAAAATAGTGCATGCTCCCGTGGATGTCGGAGAGGGCTTCTGGAATCTGGACCTCCCCACCTCCCAGTGTCATCAGGGAGCGATGGGTTGGGAGGAGTTGTTTATGTCTTTGCTGGCTGCCAGGCTTCCCTGCCCAGGCTTGCACACCGGCCTGGCTCCTTGACTTTCAGATCTTACCTCACACCTTGATTTATGGCATCTCTGGCTTCCTGAGCAGATGGATTTTTTCCCCAGTCCTTGGAAGAACAAAGCTGAGTTTTGTGTTGGTATATTAGGTTTCTATTGCTGCACAAACTTGTTATCTCGCAGTCCTGGAGGTCAGATGTTTCAAATGAGTCAGCGGGGCTGTGCTCCCTTGCCTGTCCTAGCTCCTGGAGGCCACCTGCATTCCTTGGCTCTGGACCCCTTCCTTCACTTCCAAAGCCAGCAGCATAGCATCTTCAAATCTCTATCTGACTTTTGCTTCTGTTGTCACATCTTCTCTGACTCTGACCTTCCTACCTCTCTCTTACAGGGACCCTGTGATTACATTGGGCCCACCTGGAAAACCCAGGATACTCTCCCCATCTCAAGAGCCTTAACTTAATTGCACCTGCAAAATCCCTTCTGTCATATAAAGTGACATATTCACAGGCTCCAGGGATGGTGACGTGGACATCTTTGGGGGGCCATTATTCTGCCAACCACAGATGGGTAGGGAAATAGTCTGGGAACTGTGTCCTCAGCTACAGAACCTTCTTTCTAGTATTCCCCACCTCCCTGGCACCACCAAGTGAACACAAACCAGGAAGTTGCTTTCCCCCAAAGAAGCATTTGTCGTATGGGACTGAAAACACTCTTGCTTGGATTGACCTGTGGTTCTATAGACTTCATGGCCTTTGGCTCATTGGGCAGAGGTCCCTATAAAGAAAATTGGTTTCCATTTTTAAAAATTACCCGAGGGAGAAATTGGCATCTTTGCTAAACGTGGTAATTATAGGATTGCAAAACCCCAACTTTTCGCCTGAGGCAAGGTGGGAAGCAGACCAGCCCATCTGTTTTCCCATTTTTGGCCTGGCAGAATCCTCCACCCGGCTTTGCAGGAAGGCCTTGCCATGAGGCCCCTGGCTGCCAAATGGAAATGTGTGGCTCTCTCAGCTCCTGTCATGTGACTCAACAGTCCCACTGTTTCTACTTCTCTGTGGTAAGGCTGGACCAGACCAGCTACATGGAGAACAGTGGCTAGGAACATTCCACAGGCTCCTGCTGACATCAGCTCTGGTTTGGGCCAACAGCAGACTCTGGCCTGGTCTCCGATGCCCAACCTGCCGTCCTGGACACGTGTGAGGGGAGAGAGGATTCCCTTCGGAGCCTGCAGCCGGCCCCCTGCCCCACTACCCCCGCTACACTCACGTGCTCATTTATGCCGGTTTGGAGACCCCAGGCGGCAACTAGTAAGTGCTCACTCAAGGCGAGAGGAGCCGACAGCCGCCAGTCAAACTGCCTTGGGCAGTTCCCAAAAGGAAAACTTCTGGGAATCAGGAAGAGGACCTAGCACCTCTGGAACAGGAAAGTGGAGCTGCTTTCATCTTTTAGCAGCCCTGCATCCAGGCCAAGGGGATGGGTGTGTACACGGTTTTCCGGGGGCTTTTTGTTGTGCAATGTTTTCCATTTCCACATCTCTCAAAAGCTGATATGTCCTTGGGTTGTTCCCAAACCAAACAGACATGGGCTGGACACAACCGCCAGCTGGGCCGTGCATTTGCGCTAATGGTCTGGGGCTGTTTTCTCCCACCTGAGGGTGGACCCCCATCTGCACTGAGGGAAAGCGACATCCTTTCTCACCCCATCAAGGGAAGCACACGCTGCCTCTGGGAACACCGTTCTAGGCACCCTACTGGCCCCTGGTGGCCACCCCAGGGATGTGTCCCTCTGGTCTTTTATCCAAACTGCACCGTGCAGCGGCTCAGGCTTCCTCCGTAGAGGCCCACTGGGGAGGGGCGTGCAATAGAGGGGCACGGGTGCCCTGCTTCACGCTGCAAAAAGACGCTGAGCCTGGAGCGGGGCTTGCCTCCCCCCGACGCTCATTATCCACATTCCAGAAATAGAAATCCCCCTTCCCTGGAGGCTCGCTTCCTGAAGGTCAAACCCTTCGATTCTTTCCAGACACAACCCTGGTAATTTAAGTAATGATTATACAGGATGGGCTGGACAGCTGGGGCCAGGGAGGAGGGCTCAGGGCAGGGGACGCCGTAACCTAATTCCACACACGTGCCTCTAAGCCTTTGTGGAATGAAGGAAGTGATGATGCTGTGTTGATCCGACAGGAGAGCCATTTCCAAAAGTAGAGTTCCTTGTTCTCTGCTCATTGCCCTGAAGTCCTGACCACAGCAACGTGACTAGCATCTTGAGGATGAGTTAAGATGGCATTTCTCCTTCAAGGCAGCATCAGATGATGCTAGCAGCCTTCTCCGAAACCCACTGTTTCAAAAATGGAATGAGGAACGAGATGATTCCCTGGCAAAACTTACAGACTAATTAGTGAAATTATTTTTAAAAAACAAACGAAAAATGGAACGGGCCCGGAGAGTGCTCCTGAGCACTGAGGAGCCTATAAGAGGTGGCTGGAGAATGTTTCTTTTCTTTTCTCTTTTTGTCTCCTTCCTAGAACCGCGATCAGTTTGGTTCTGCACACAGAAGTCCTTAAGAAACGCTTGTGGGCTGACCTCTCCCAACCGCATCCTTCTGGCAGATGCTACAGAGCGCCCAGGGGAGGGAGCTGCATCTGGGCGCCAGGTGGCCGCTGCGGTGGTGCAGAGAGCTCAGGAAGTCCAACGCCCCACCTCCTCCTGGCTCACAGAGCAAACTGATGGGTCTTGGGAGGGAGGGACAAACAGCTCCCAGACGGAGTTAAAACCACGACATCAGTCTTCCTGACTCAGCATGGCCTAGAAAAATCCATAGCATCAGAACTTGGCATTTGCAAACCCAAAGATCGTACCATGTTAGGCTGCCTTCTGGTTGCCATGTGACAAGTATCTGCAAATACTTTTTCAAATTGAGAACTTTGAGCGCTTCAGGAGGGAAGGCGCTCAATACCTGCAGTATGTGATTAGCGTGGGATCCGATCTGCGGGCTTTAGCTCTTGGCAGCATAAGTGTTATTCCAAACGGGAGAGGCATGTGGCGTCCTCAGCGGTGGGTCTGTTACCCCATTTGCAGCCTTTAGCAGCAGGGGGAGCCATGCTGGCTGGGGAAAGGCTGAGTGGCAGCCTAGAACCAGGCAAACCCCAGGACATGGAGGGCCCGAGGGCTGAGTCTTTGAGATCTCAGGCATTTATGAAATTCGAGGACCCTGAGTGGGACAGCAGAAGCCTAATTCTAATTCTGAGCCAAGACCTGCATGTTGTGAGTGCTCAACAAAGACTAGCAGGTCAACCATGAAAACACAGCCCTAATAGATGTGAAAAGCAAAGCTAGGATTACTCACCAGCCCTTGAGAAAAGTATCTTTTAAAAATGAGAGACTCCAGTTTCCTCAAAAAGTTAAACATAGAATTACCATGTGACCCAGCAATTCCATTCCTTGGTACATACCCAAACGAAATTAAAATATACGTCCACACAAAAACTTGTACACAAATATCCATAACAGCTGTATTCACCATAATCAAAAGGTGGAAACAACTCAAGTGTCCATCAACAGACAAGTGGGTAAACAAAATGTGGCACGTCCACAACGTGCGATAGTATTCAGCCATGAAAAGGAGTGAAGTGCTGCTATGTTACCATGTGGATGAACTCAAGAACGTTATGTGAAAGAAGCCAGATGTAAAAGGCCACACAACTCCATTTATATGAAATGTCCAAAACAGGTAAATCCATAGAGACGGAAAACAGATTGGTGGCTGCCAGGGGCTGGGGAAGGCGGAAATGGAGAGTGATGCTTAAAGAACATGAGTTTTATTTTGGGGTGATGAAAATGTTTGGAACTAGATAGAGGTGATGGCTACGCAACATTATAAATGTGCTAAATGCCACCGAATTGTTCACTTTATGTTATGTGCATTTCACCTCAATTTTTTAAAAAACAAGGGACTTGATGTAACTGGCAATGTCGCTTTCAGGATCATTCTTTTTTTTTTTTAAGTGATTTTTAAAAAAATTTTTTCCTTTTTCTCCCCAAAGCCCCCCGATACATAGTTGTATATTCTCCGTTGTGGGTCCTTCTAGTTGTGGCATGTGGGACGGCTGCCTCAGCATGGTTTGATGAGCAGTGCCATGTCCTCGCCCAGGATTCGAACCAACGAAACACTGGGCTGCCTGCAGTGGAGCGCGCGAACTTAACCATTCGGCCACAGGGCCAGCCCCAAGGATCATTCTTTTGTGATGCATAAAATGTCCATTTCTAGGGCAGCAGTTGATGCTGATTTGGATGGTGTTAAAGAAAAGAGTTACTCAAGACACTTGTTACAGAAAGGTAGGGCAAACGTTATTCAGGACCATTGCAAAAAGGTCTTGCAGCTGGCGGGGCGGGTGGTACAGATTGGGCGCAAATAATAACAAGGAAAAGGGGGAATTTCTAGTCAAGGAGCAGGGTGGGGGTGAGTGGATGGAAAATTACTAAGAAGAAACATCAGGATGAGGGAGGATTCCGGCTACATCACCTGGGGGTGGGGGAGCGTGAAGAACCTGTAACAGATATCAAAGGGGATCAGACATGGAGGATGGCAGATTCTGGCTAAACTAACAAGCAAGATACTTGCTAGAGCTAGACTCTACCAGGAAGGACACAGAAGCCCAGGGTTTGAAGCCTAGTCAAAAAGAGAGCTTATATGAACCTGATTAGATCAAGGAGAGCATCTGTCAGTGGGAAAGTGTGGTGGTCCCACCTTCTCCCAGCTGTTTCTCCGTGGCACTAAATTCCTTGCCGTCCAGTCTCTTAGCCTCACGCAATTGTGCAGAGACACCTGCCCTCTCCTCACAAGGGTGAGGGGTACAGTCAGCACTTTGGTGGCATTATTTGGAAAGACTTTACCTTGTGTAAAAAGTAGTGTCACTTGTGGAGGCCCTAAGTGCTAATTTTTGGTTGTCACTCTTCTTTACTTTTTCCTTTTCTATATTTTCCCAATAGGTCTGCAATATGTATGGTGGGTTTGTTATTGAAGTATAAATATGGATAGAAAACACACGCAAATGATGAACTATGAATTTGTGAACCAACACACCTGTATTAATAAAAAAAAAAACAAACAACACATCCTAGAAACTCTTCATGCCTCCTTCCAGCTACTGTCCCCCCAAAAGATAACCACTTATGCAGTGTATTTTTATATTCGAAAAAATACTTAAAATACAATCAAAGTAAAAATACATTAGAGATGGAAAATTTTTAAATCCAGCTTTGTTTATTTGTGAAAGCTCTACCAAATGGCTCAGACACAGAAACAGCAAAGAGGGCTCTAAGTGGGTTTGGCCTCGGGATATTCCTAAAGGAAAGCGGAGAGGAGGCAGCAGGTGACGGCCACCGGATCTGCTGATGGCCAAGTCTACTTCTAGGGTCATTTATCACTGTGGCTCCCAAACTAGGAAGCACACTGGAAGCCCCAGGGGGGCTTCAACACTGCGGGTCCCACCCCAAGAGATTATGACTTAACC